CCAGGGATTTAATTCGGCCCATAATTTTCTCTCTTTTTTTGGCGAGCGTAGGGTGAGTTAGGCGCCCAGAGGAATAAGCAAGCGAGTGAGACCGCAGAGACGGCCTCCGGGGCCACCCGTCATTCTGTTTCCCTCTGGTTTGGCCCTGGCCCTGATTCAGGGGTCCTCAAACTACGGCCCGCGGGCCACGTGCGGCCCGCCCAGGACTTTGATCCGGCCCGCCGGGTGTTTTGGCCCCGTTTGTTTTTTTACTTCAAAATAAGATATGTGCAGTGTGCACAGGAATTTATTCACAGTTCTTTTTTAAACTGTAGTCCGGCCTCTCCAACGGTCTGAGGGACAGTGAACTGGCCCCTGTTTAAAAAGGTTGCGGACCCCTTTCTGGCTGTGCTTTTCGGAGACCCTGCGAGGAGGAGAAGGGATCGTGTTCTCCCAGAGCCGCCCCAGCCCTCTCCGCGGTCAGCCTGTGCTCCGCCCGCCCGCCCGCCCACCTCGCCATAAAAGGAGAAGCAGCTGCCTGGGCTCCCTGGTCTAAAGATAGAGGACCCTGCTGGGCACACCGAGCCCCAACGGGCCGCTGGAGCCGCCATGGCGACGTGAGTGTCCGGTCTCCGGAGCCCCTTGTTCCCCCCTCCAGCCTTTCCCCCTTGGGGAGCTCCTGCCCCCCATCTTCCCAGGCACGGTCCCAAGGGAGCCCCAGGATCGCCCCCCAGGTTTCCGTACCATCGGATGGGAGGCAGTGTGATGTCAGTGTTCCCCGCAACTCCCTCCCTGTCCACCTCCGTATTCTTGCACTTCCGATTGGTTCCAAGTTTGACCCTCATCACACAGCGCCCCCCCCCTTCACCTGCTTCCTTGACTCCTGTCTGTCTCCTGTGGCATCAAGTGTCCCTGTATCTCCCCTACCTTTCCCAAAGACCCCTGAGTCTTGCGTCCCCCACCTCTATGAAGCCCACCTCCACTCCTCTGCAGGCTGCACGCCCGGACCCTGTGGTATGACAGGCCCAAGTACGTGTTCATGGAGTTCTGCGTCGAGGACAACACGGATGCCCGCGTGCTGCTCGAGGACCACCGCCTGGTGTTCAGGTAATGGCTCTCCCCTCCCCGCCAGGCTGCCCAGGAACCTCTCCTTCCCCGACGCCCTCAGCTACCTTGTCTCTTCAGCTGCAAGAACGCCGACGGGGTGGAGGTATGCAACGAGATTGAGTTCTATGCCAAGGTGAACTCCAAGGTAAGGATGACGTGCGACAACGGTGAGATCTGGCCAGAAAGAAGGCCCAAGGACACGGGAGATTCATTCTCAGCCTTCCACCATAAGACGGAGGTGCTCTATCTGGCAGGACTCCCAGGATAAGCGCTCCGGCCGCTCCATTACTTGCTTTGTGAGGAAGTGGAAGGAGAATGTGGCCTGGCCGCGCCTCACCAAGGAGGATATCAAGGTGGGTTTGCGGGGAGCCCCCTGTTCCTTCTCTGGTGCTCGCTGTCCATGTTCCCGGGTACCCAAGTGATACTGTGGAATGAATTACTCTCAGCCCCCTTCCCGCACCCATTCACTCACTCACCCAACCCTCTGCGGTGGACCCATTCGGAGTGACCCTATAGGACCAGTGGAACTGAGCCTTAGGGTTTCCAGGACTGTATATCGTTGTAGGAGCAGATGTAGGCCACATCTAATTTCTGGGGAGCAAGCTGGTGGGTTTAAACTACTGCTCTTGCGGTTAGCAGTCCAAACCTAACCAACCTAGCCACCACCAAAAAACCCTTTAATCACTTACCAAACCAAAAAAACCAAACCAAACCAAAAAACCAACCATCAAGTTGGTTCTGATTCCTACAGCCTTCTGTCGGGGTTCCAACTGTAATTCTATTTTAATAAATCATTTTATTTGGGGTTTGTGTTAGGGTAGACTAGAGAAACAAGTTCATAGGCACTCATATATGTATAAGAGAGAACTTGATATACAAGAGCAATTGAATATTGAGAAAACAGCCCAGCCCAGTCCAGATCAAGCCCATAAGTCCCATACTAGCTCACATGTCCAATACCAATCTATACAGTCCTCTTCAGACTCATGAAACACATGCAGTGACGCTGAATGCAGATCACAGGCCAGGGGGTGGAAAGTCTCGTGGATCCAGAAGCATCTCAGAGCTAGCAGGAGTCTCCACATGGGTCCTTCACCTCCAGGGCTCAAGCAGAGCTCCATGGGTCTTGCCTGCTCTCGCAGGGAGTGAGCATGTGCCCTGCCTCCAGTGAGCTATTTATCTCCCTAGTGCCACCAAATGAGGTCATCAAACTGCAACCTGATTGACAGCCTAAGCACCACCCCTTCACTCTTAAGTCTCAAATGGACAATTACGTAACTACCACAGGGTTCTTAACAGCTCTTATAACAATCCATGCAGCAACTGTAATTCTTTATGGGAGCGTACAACCTCATCTTTCTCCCCTGGTGTGGCTGGAGTGTTTGAGCTGCCATCTTGGAGTTTAGAAGTTCAATGCCTAACTCACAATGCCTCCAGCGTGCCTTCATCACCCCTGGGCCCTGTCGGTTTGACACCTCCAACATTCTTATGTATAATTCTATACATGTTGATACATATGTACATATATACATACATACATACATATATATATATATAAACAAACACATGTATGAAAGGGCTTCACAAAGTTTGTGGAAAAATAGAGTGGGAAAATTATGGAATTCTATGAACTTTCTGAAGCCCCTTCATATATATGTTCATATATATATATAAAACTTTATTTTTTGTCATGGAAACTATGTATGCAAAAACATATACCAATTCAAGTGTTTCTTTTAACAATTTTATTAGCGCGTCACAAAATTCAATAATTCCATTGTATCAAGAAGAGTTGTGCAATTATCACCACATTCAATTCTAGAACACACTCTTCTTATATTCATTATCATTCATGTACATTTTTTTCTATTTGTGGCAGAAATATACACAACAAAACATGCTCCAATGCCACAACTTCCACATGTAATTCAGTGCCATTGATTACACTCTTTGCGTTATTCAACCACGATCAATATCCTTTTCCAAATGATGCCACCACTGGTAACACAGACCCAGTGCCCCATCACCTGTTTCTGCGTGCGCCATTCAGTGACCTTGATGCCATTCTCCACACTGGGCGACCCTTCTCCCCTTTTCTGGTGGCTTCTCCCCCCCGGACGGAAACTCACTGGCCTCTAAGGTTCCTGTCTGTCTAGTGGAGTTGCTGCTGTCAGTCTGATCCTACATAGATAGCTCTGAAAAGAGCATAATGCTCAAGGTAGACTTTTTATCTATTTTGCGATTTGTCCTAACTCGTAAAGAAGGTCTGAGCATTCATTCGGCTCTCTTAAGAACTGTCTGTAGGAGATCAAACTCAGCAACAGCAACTTCAGAAGGTGAGTGGAACCTTGGAGATGCTGATGAGGGCGGGGCAACTCAGGACCTGAGGGCGGAGGGTGTGTAATTCGAAGACTAACCAATGCCATTGGGCCTGAGCATGTTGAAACGGTTGGATCGGTGCACATTTTTCGGTGCCTGTTAACAAAAAGAATCAAATGTAGAGGGGCGAAAATGGAGATCACACCGTGAACGCTAGGTGATCAGCCACACTGAGTCTCAAGTCCCAAATGCCTACCACTGGAGCTTTACATGAGGCAGAGGCTCCACCTGATCTGACTTCTTGTCATGATCTCCCTGACGCTTGCAGGTGTTTGAGCTTGTAAGTTCCTGCCTGTAAAGGGTAAACCCCTTGGCGGGCACACAAGGCCACACAGAGGTCTAGCTGTCTTGCCCTTGGGCAGCCGCCTATCTCGGTGCTCACTGCGCTCCGGTCCAGCCTCAGCAAACTGCCATTCGCTTTGCACACACCAGGCTGCTTCTGGCACCGGTCCCTTTGTTCAAGCTGTGCCTTCTTCCTGGAAAGCGTCCGTTGCCATAGCACTCGCCCACCTAACCCAGCTCCTCCTTCACATCCCGCTTCTCGAAGAAGCCTGGGTACTTCTATTCCAGAAGACCCTACATCACCCAGTTACCCACTTGCCCCATGATTCGTTTCCCTCGCCGTGTCCCACTTAGGTCTCGATGGCTGGGACAATGTTTTGAACTTTATTATAATCCCAAAGCCAAGCTCACGGGGTTCAATACGTATTGTTAAATGAATGCGCGAATAACTTCTTTCCCTGGAAAAGCTAAGAACTCTGGAACATGAACCTCGAAGGGTTTCCTCTGACCCCCAGCAATGCAGTTTGTCGATCTCATTTGTTTGACTTCTATGGTGTCTCGTCATCGCAGTCTATTAGCTCTCTAGTTAATCTTTACCTCCTGCTCGCCAGAGGGCTTTCATTTTGAGCCCTGACAATGTCTAGTGGGGCAGCAAATAAGAGGAAGACTGTCCACCAGTTGGATGGACACAATGGCTGCTTCAGAGGGCTCAAACATGAGAGAGTTGGGAGGAGGCCACAGGAGCGGCGGAGTTTACTTCGGATGTGCAGAGGGTCCTAGGGTCGCTGTGAGTCGAGCGGGCTGGACAGCTCCTAACGACAACGGCCACCACGTTTGGCATTGTGCGTGGCACTTAGTAGTGTCTAGTAAAGCTTGCGGCCTGAGGGGGAGGGATGGCTAGTTGGAGGGGTGCTGTGGAGAGAACTGTACCCCAGTGACCCTTTCTGCCAGCCTCCGTGCATTTCTGCTGCTGACCCGTGACCCTGTGTTTCCTCTTTCAGCCAGTGTGGCTGTCTGTGGACTTTGATAACTGGAGAGATTGGGAAGGGGATGAAGAGACAGAGCTGGTTCATGTGGAACACTATGCCGAGGTGAGAGAGAGGCAACACCAGCCACTTCTTGCTCATCTTGCTCGTCCTCTTCTGCTGCACAGTTTTGTGACTGTCACCAGGGTCAGGCGGAAAAACCCAGGCTTCCTGGGCAGGCTACTCATTGGTGCTCATACTCGTAACCTGTCTTGCACAATGTTTATTTAGTAGGGGTGAGAGAGATGACAATACCATTGTTAAATTGTATAAGCAGATTCAGCTAGTCACAGAGCAGACTGTGTTCTGGGACAGTTTGGCAAAATCTTTCCCCACTCTTCTGTAGCTCAGATTCCCACTTCCGGTCTCTGTGTGTTACTTTCTCTCGCCCGCACTCGCACCCCTCCCCCCCCCAACCAGATAGCTTTGTGGGAAGCTCAATGTCAGCAGTATGGAATTGACACCACAAAGGAACTCACTAGTTCCCCCAAAGATCACCTTTCCCACGGGCTACTAACCACAAGGTCAACAGTTTGAAACCATCAGCAGCTCCTCAGGAGCAAGATGAGGCTTTTTGCTCTGTAAAGAGTTGCAGTCAGAAGCCACGAGGACAGTTCTACCCCGTCCTGTAGGGTTGCTGTGAGTCAGAATCGACCCGATGGCAGTGCGTTTTCTTTATATGTATAAATAAATAATTGGGTTTCCTGGTTTCAGCTTTTATTTATTGATGTTGTAACACCAACCTGCACTAGTAAGGAGTGTGTGTGTGTGTGTGTGTATTTCAATTTCCTTTTCAAGAGCATATCAATTTTCTTTTCTTTGACTAATTCCAGTGATGTCGATGTCTTGGGGCTTTGAAGAAGGGGGCAGTTGCCTGGCTGGCTCTGGCTGGGCAAGGTCTCCCTCGGTCCATCCACATGCAGATTCTCTTCCCTCACCCCTCTCTCCCTTTTCTCTTCCCACCAGCTTTTGAAGAAGGTCAGCACCAAGGCCCCGCCCCCTGTGATGGATGACCTGGACGTGAGTGAAGCCAGCTGCCCTTTGCCCTGGGTCCCTTTTCCACCCTTCAAAGCAAGTGCCCATCCTGGTCTCTGGCTCACGGTAGCTGTGCAGCGTTAGCCAGATCTCAACTTGACCCAGAAGGTCAAGTGTTCTCTTCTAGCCTGTAGACACTCCAGCAGGCACATCCTCCTTCATCCCCCTCAACTCCTCCACCCGCCAGCAGACCTGCCCTGTGGAGTATCTTTACTCAGGACTCAGCGCAATGCTGACACTTAATGCTGTGCGGCCACGTGCTCTTTATTGCGTACGGTGGTTCATTGTTCAGACTCCAGATCTTCCCATTAGCCTCCCAAGAAGCTGCCTGGTTTAGAAAATCACGAGAGGGAGCTTAGAGCCTGGAAGGTGTGAGCAGCGTTTGTGAGCACAGATGCTGGCGGGGACTCTAGAAGCGTCCGTCTTTTTTCTCCCCAGGATGATTCTGACAGCGCCGCTGAGGCCGCAGGTAACTCCTTTCCTCTGACACCACAAGCTGGGGGAAAGATGGTGGCTGGCTGCCAGCCATTGGGACGAGGCAGAGCCTGGCCGGTGTTAGCTCACTGGGTGTCCACCAGGGCCCTCTGGGGTCTCTGAACTTCCCTAGGGGATTTTTATTTATTTAAACATAAAATATCTGAGGTATGTACAGGGGTTTGTAATAACACATGGGTGCTACTTTGTCGGGTATGTCAGCATATTTTAATTATTGTGATTGTTATGTTAAATGTTTTAGTGTATCTGGAAATGGTTTTTTAATGCATAGAGAAATGCACAGATAGGCATGCTATAATTAAGACAAACATTCGACTAGTTTGTTAGATACGAGTTAGACCTGTTTCTTTTGACGTAAATACAAATTTAACTTAAAGGCAGACTGAGGAACAGAATGGATTAGTAACCCAGGGATTGCTTATCAATTGACTGTGTGAGTCGAGAGCACTCGGCCTCAGAGAAAGACATTGGTAGGATCCAACGCCACTCATACATTTCACTAGCACGATCGAACTAACTTAAACAGAACTGGAGCTCATACATGTTTTTAGCTATTATTTTTTCATAAAAGCTATGGAGAATCAATATACTATGATCCAAAATATTCTGCTCCATGTAAGTTTGATTGAAAGCCATTTTTTAAAAAGAGCAAATTTCTTCACTCACATTGCTCGTGGTGTCAGCCCAATAATTCATTCAACCTAACGGTAGATCCTGCATTAACCTACGAGAAGCTCTGTGTTAAGGGCTCCTGTCGTGCTTGATTTCCCCTCCTAGGCACCTGACCAGCTGCTGCACTGGGGGCAGGACAAGGAAGTTAGAGACTGGTGGGCCTTCCAACCCATCATCGACTCATCTCGATGTTCGGGCCACTCTTCAGTGCCCGAGGATCATAATAAAGCTCTAGGATTTGTACTTTGCCTCTCTTCTTCTGCTTCTTCCTCTGCAGTCAAACCTCTTCTCCCTCTAAGATTCCCTCCCACAGGAAGGGTTGGGCATTAAGAAATACGTTGAAGGCACAAGCGTGGGTGGGTGGGGGGGGCTAAACTATGTCCAGATCTGGGTTCCGATTTCCTAGCGCAGAAACCAGCCTCTCCTTACATGGCGAATCCTGCTATCCCCGGAACCAGTCAGGAGCCTCACCTCAGAGCTTTCTGCCCATGACAGGAATTTTTATCTTGCATGTTAAACTAGAGGTTACTCTAATTCTTAAGTTCCCAAATGGCCACCTTTTCAGAAACAAAATTACTCAGCACCCTCTGGCAACAAAAAACTTCTGTACTATAGCCCATAATCTAGGATAAAGTGTAGGCATTCGCTTTTGTAGCTCCTCCTGGATGGTGTCAGCACCCCCCCACCGGGGGTGGTACCTCCCACTCTGGGAAACCCTGCTCTGGATAATACTCTTGTTTGTTTACTCCTCCATTCCTAAGCCACTCCATTTATCCACAAACATTTTTAAAAATAATTTTATTGGGGCTCATACAACTCGTCACAATCTATACATACATCAATTGTTGCAAGCACATTTGTACAT